ATTATTCGTACTCTAATGTATGTTCTCGTCCTAACAAGACATAACACAACTTCTCTTGGCAGTTCGATAGGTTTCAACGCAATTTCAATTTTATCCGCAAGTTCCTGAAAGATGAACTTGTCTTTACTAAGCTTTGAACCGTGATATTTGGAGAATTCTGTGTTCATGATACGTGCAGCTTTTAAAAGATCAGGCGATGGATACATGCATTTTCCTCGGGAAACGAATTGTAACCAATTATTGTCATTATCATTTACAATTGGTAGTTCGCATGTTCTAATACCTAGTGTGTTATATTTATTTTTGAACTTGTATGCAACATAGTCAGCTATATATATTAAACTTTGATCCTCAATATCGTCGACAATTTCCATTTCATCATCAAATGATTTAAGTATCTGTTCTTCTTCTAAAGTAGGAATATATGTAGCTGAATTGAAACATGCAATTTACATTATTATTACTATCATTCTCTGTTAACAATTCTTCTTCAACATGAATATCGACTGTTTCGTCTCCGTTTGTGTAAGGCGCTAACATATCTGTTAAAACATGTTCTTTACAATTATCATCATTAAGCAAAGATATTGTACAAAATACATTTGATTCACTTTCTGTAACATTGGAACATTTGCAGAAAACAGTTGTAGATAATTTTTCTAATATGTAACGTTTTACTCTATACTTAAAATCTAAAGCTGATGGTTGATCGTTAGCACCACCACCATTCGCGCGCGCGCGATCTTATAAAAGAAAAGAAATTTTCCAATACATCTTGATTTAATCGATTGGTTATTATATATTCAATATTAGCCATAGAATACTTCTCGATCAAGTACTGTAATAATTGTTCCAAAGAATTATTGCTCACAATGAATCCTTTCTGAAATAACATTAAAGTTTTGTGATTTCCTACTCTTAGATTGTACATGAAAGATGTCACTTCGTGAAGTATTGCATTTTGTTCCTCCAAATTCTTGCCGTATGCATTTTTCCCTGAATGTTTGCCATACATTGATTTTGAATTGAAGATATCGAACCAATCATTCAATAATTTAATTACACGCGCTGTTTCTATCCATTCTACATTTCCGAGATAACCTTTTTGCCCACACCATTGTAATGCAGAAGCAGTACTAGCAGACAGTAGCTGTGCAGCTGGGAGTACTTTTTGTCGCTCAGTACCATGTAGGTTGAAATGGTACTCAGATATTTTGTAAGCCACTTTCAAATCTTTACTATTAACTGCTAAAAGCCGTTCCAAACATTTTTTATTTACAATTGTTCCATTAACATGAAATTCCTTGTCGAGGAAATGGTTACGCACTAGTTTCAAGAGATGGGACATATCTGCAAATACAAAAACTTGGAAATCATCACAAACGGGATGCTGAAAAAAACGTTTTTTAGGTTTAATTCCTATTTCTAATTCTAACCACAATCTTATATTACTTGATCCCATATCGCTTGTTACCGCAACAACCGTATAGCCTATATTATACATTTCCGAAATAATATGAAAGAGCATACTTTTAGTCATAGCTTCATCAAAGTTAAAATATACTAACTGTTTCCAATTGGAAAACAAGCTTCGTACCATGCAACATTGACACGTTTTGTGAGGTCCGATAACTTGCTCACATTTGCGATCAACAGCAATTTTATTGCACAAATAGATCTCATCGAATGTTAATATTACCAGTTTTTCATTATCTTTTAAGTATTTTCCTTTCTGTTTCATGCAATCAAGCACACACGATATAACACCTACATCCATTTTGACAGAACTTGCCCACCTTCTAAGTGTTGATAAATTAGGGAGCGGTATCCGCAAAACATTTCTTAAATATCGGTACGCTTTCGGACTGACAGATCGTAACGATATGGCATTCGCTATATCTTCTGAAGACCATTTTACATTCTTTTTGGATGGATTTAGAAAGCAGCGTATCTGTCCCGGTGTAAATGATTTTCCAAGCAGATCGTACATTTGTGCTTCCAAATTTTCATTACATTTTTCCTGTTTCTCTTCATATATGCGCAATTTATTTTGTGCCAATGCTAATTGCTGTTGAACACTTTTACTGAAAGCACATGATAAGAACCAACATTATTCTTTCGTATAATAAACTGAAAAGTCTCTAAACATTAATTTATAACTCACAGTTTCTCTGAGAGGACAGTTACATCCTTAGATGTAGATAGTATCGGTGTATTGTGGATCAATTGGATTTCTTGTGATACAGGTATATCATCACTAAATGTGTCGGGTAGCACTGTGTCATTGCACTTTGATTCCGAAGTTAATGTGCCATTGCATGTTGATTCTAATGTATCCGATGTATCAATTAATGGCAATGGTCTTTTATCAACATGAGTAGCTTCTACTTGCGATGTGTCAAACGTTAAATGTAACGTGGGAATTGCATCTGCTCTCAATTTTGTCAGTCTTTTTTGAGAATAGAAAAGCGACTTTTCTTTCGATGGCTGTATGAAGTATGATGCGTCGAAATGTTGGGAACATATCATACCTGAATACAAGCAAAATTATATGCAGTTGACTTCGTTACATTTGTACATTTACAAGAAATAGAAAATCTTACCTTTTTTAATGTTAACGTTTTGATTTCCACATGCTGCAAGCCATTTAGTTACGATCGTAAAATCTTTCGGAAACGAGCAATATTTTATACTGTTTCCATTAAGCAATTTTGTTTTGCGAAAATAATTGCCACAACCTTTCACAGAACAGGACATTGTGTATGTATCACCGAACATTAATATCGTGTCAAGCATCAGGAGCCGCCATGTTTTCGTTTGGGCGGTCTGATTGGCCCCGAGAGTGACGTCACACTTTGACTGCGCAGTGGGTATCCACGGCGTGAGCATACCCTTATCCTTATACCATGCTGGTGTCAACTGTGAGCGTTGTGAACAATTCAACAGTCGTGAGTGGATAAGAGCATGCGCTATTTATTAGTAAAGCCAGCGGCACACGATGCTTTTTTTCCTGCTGGATTGCTAGCTGGATTTGCGTGCTTGCTGCCGTGTTGGCAACAGTGCTGGCTGTGCTATTGGCTGTGTTGCTAGTTTGGCTTCAGGCTGG